TTCCCCATGTTGGCACAGGCTGCAGTGATAGCTTTCAATAAATCCACTTCTCTGGGTTTAAGTTCAGACCAAAGGATGTGCAGTTATCTAGAGCAAGTCGCTTCCACTTCCAGAGGGCTAGCCATATACAAATATTATTTCTCCAGACAAGATTCTACATGCGTCGTACCAATACATCTGAGCAGTGTCTGTAAATAACGTGTATCTGTAAGAATAGTCCAGCTACAGGAGCTAACCATAAACTGCACTTCTGAGTATCTGGTCATCTGCTCAAACCTGCAGATTAAAAACAAACACAAATTCCCATGTGAGTATAACATGCCATTTCTTCATCTGAAGACAAATCTGAAGTAAATCAAAAGACTAAGAATTTGAAAGCTTCTTACATTAAGGTGATCTTGTACACATTGCAATTTTACAGTATTAACAATAACTGTAATATATATGGAGAGTGTTTTGTTTGAACAGGTGTTGTTGAACAAATCCTTCTCGTTCTTTTCCATGCATTGATTCCTTTTTCACTTGTGGAATTCTATTCCTTTTGACATGTTTAACTGTTTTATAAGTCAACAATTATTAATTGTTTTACTATCTTCAAAGACTGCCTACAGCACTAGCGAATAGCATTCATGGATTAGAACTCTTTAAAGTCTCTATTGGAAAAATTCTTCCAAACTCAAGGCAACTGAAAAAGTTGGCGAGCACTGTTGAACTCTGTAAGATTTGTTTCCATTTACTCTGGATGTGTCGGAAATCACCCCTATTCCCTTTATGTAGTGTCCTATTTGAGTGGTAAGCCATTTTTAGTGGTTTCCAAAAACATAGTGGATATTATCGAGACACCCTCAGTGAATTTGCTCACTCGCACTCACTTCCAAAACATCAGTACTCATCTTGCTGGATCTGTCTGCTGCTTTTGACACAGTTAACCTCTAGATCCTCCTGTCAACCCTTCATGACAAAGGGCTTTGCAGGAACCGCACTCCAGGGGTTCGAGCCTTACCTCTCAGGCAGGCCCTTCAGGGTGTCTTGTGGCGCTTTTCCACTGCGTGGTACGACTCGGCTCGGTACGGCTCAGTACGGTACGGCACGGCTCGGTTTGCGTTTCCACTGCAGTTTAGTATCGCTTTAGAGTGGGCGGGATTATTCACATGTCATTATAGTTGCGCCGCCTCTATTGCCGCGACTCCTAAAAAACTTTTTCATTCCGCGTCGCCCCATCAAGCTCTCACTGGATCCGCTCCTCTGCTATCAACGAGAGCAACGTCTGTACTTCCTCAACAGGGGGAACAGCCACTTTTTGGTTGTTAAAAAAAGGTGCGCTCGTTCAAAACAGTTGCATTCGATCCTTCGCTGGCTGTGCTGATTTAAATCTAGCGGTTCTTTTGTGTTTGTGTCGCAAGTTCAGTGACGCAGGTAGTGACGATTCTCTCCGGCCAATCCGTGATCAGCAGAGTTTACACGTCACGTTTTGGTAACGGTACGGTTTGCTTGGAACCCCAACCTAAGTGGTACTAAAAAAAGTACCAGGTACCAGGTACTGTACCCAGTGGAAAACCCCCCAAAAGTGAACCGTACCGTGCCGTACCATGCAGTGGAAAAGCGCCATTGGAGGGATGAGATGTCTAATCCACAAAAAATCTAACTACTGGGGTGCCTCAAGGCTTAGTGCTTGGACCACTTCTCTTCTTCATCTACATGCCATCAGTAGAATCTGTAATTCAGAAACATGGCTTTTCCTATCACTGCGTTGGTGATGACACACAACTTTACTTCTCATTCCAGCCCGGATGATCCAACAGTAGCTGCTCGCACCTCAGCCTGCCTGACAGACATTTCTTGCTGGATGAAAGGCCATAACACTCAACTCAACTTTAGTACTACAGAACTGATTTTAGTATCAGCCAACCTAACACTTCACCACAACTTCTCCTTCCAACTATAGGCACATCGACCATAACTCCTTTGGACAACTTGGAACCTTGGAGTTGTAACTGGTGATCAGTTAAATTTCACAGACCACATCACTGAAACGGCCCGGTCCTTATACAACATTAGTAAGATCAGACCCTTCCATTTGGAGCATGCTACACAACTCCTTGTCCAATTTATTGTTCTATTCCAGGCTGGCCTATTGTAACGCTGTTTTGGCAAGCCTTCCAGCATGTACTTTCAAACCTCTGGAACTGATGTATAAAGCAGCAGCAAGAATGACCTTCAATGAGAAGAGAGCGCATGTCACACCTCTTCATCATTTTGCACTGGTTGCCAATAGTCGCTTGCATCAAATTCAAGGTACTGATGTTTGCTTACAGAACAACCACTGGCTCAGTGACCCTTACACTACTACACTAAACTCACTGACTTATGTGACTTCCACCTGTTACCTTTACTTTGACTGTTTCCTGCTGGTGAAATGTCCTGTCTAACTCAACCAGGGTCTTTAGACACATCGTTTTAATACTAGCACCTTCTGTGTTAGACTAACTGGGTCTTGCCACAGCACTTAGATATTGTTGTCGTTTTATTGGTTTAATTGCTTCCATTATCCTCATTTGTAAGTCACTTGGGATAAAAGTGTCTGCCTAATGATTAAATGTCAATGTCAATGTAAATGAGTCAGTGGAATGAATTAAAACCCTTAGTAAGGTAAATTTTTGTTAGGGAGTTTCCATTCTTTTCCATTTACAGAAAAACCCAAGAGCAAATTTTTTAGCTAAGATACATATCACCACAAAATATTTCACAATTTTCTTAAGTAACTTCAATATGTATTTTCATTTTTATAACAGTTATTGTGCCATCCTTGGGCAATTCACAAGTCACTCCATGAACCAGAATGACACGAAATATAAACATGCATTTTATATCAGCAAGACTTCAAGTTTTCTAATTGATTTTGACTACTTTTTAAAACCTTCATTACAGCTATTTCAGAAAGCCAGTTGCTACACAAACAGACTTTCAATTTTAAGGAGACTTTCACAATATATTTTAGTTTTCCATGTAATTAATTTAGTTTTAGTGTTTGTACATTATTACACATGGTGACTGAGGTTGTTTTGCGGCGCAAGGCACAAGTGTCCACAGCACTCAGAATGATGACATTGTTTACCAGACACTATTGCAACACTCTGCCCTACACGTAAGTATATTTAACCTGTTAGCAGTTATCCCCCAAAAAGAGCCCTAAATATTCCTTTAAGCAAACAGAATGTATTTAACTTGGATTCCCAAACTCAGCGTTATTTAATAAGGCCAGCATAAGCACCGTCATGTGAACCGTCAACATCACTGCGTGTTAGATTAATCGATACTTCAGATCGCCAAAATGTATATGGCATGAATGTTAAAATAATCAAATGTCATAATTCCTACCTAAATGTGAAGAATTCTCCATTTAGTTGTCAAGACAGACGACCACTTTTTGCGTCCAGGAAGATCGACGTGTATTAATGACCGTATGTAGTTTCACTGTCCGTCTATGAATATACTCCCCACAGGAAACTGTGAGCGTCAAGGTTCTCTACTGATAATATTGTTTCTTGTCTAATAACGTGCTTTTAATTAACCAAAAGAGAGAGAAAAATAGTCAAGCCAGAGGGTGCCTTCATTTCTTCTATTCGGTCCTGTTCTTCCTTTACAACTCTTGAAGAGGGCAGTACATGGTCTCAGATTAAAGGAATGTAGTGAAATCTGATTCTAAAGGTCTACACATCCATTAGCCACACATCTACACAGTACACAACTATCTTGAACCTGCATTAACACAGTCTGTCTAAACATGAAGTTAAAAGGTAGTACACTTTTGCATACTTCTAAAAAGAATGTTTTTTTTTTTGTTTGTTTGTTTTTACATAATTAACATACTTTAAAGGGGTCATATGATGCAATTTAAATTTTCCCTTTCTCTTTGGAGTGTTACAAGCTCTTGGTGCATAAAGAAGATCTGTAAAGTTGCAAACACTAAAGTCTCAAATCCAAAGAGATATTCTTTATAAAAGTTAAGAGTCAGCCACACCTACCTAAAACGGCTCGTTCTAACACGCCCCCACATATCTACCTCACTATGTGGGAAGATTTGCATAACGCCGCCCAAATGTTCACGCAAAGAAAGAAGGCGTAACTTTTATACTGGCTGTATTGTTGCTGCCGCCATGTTGTGAAGGCGCTGTGTGATTCGTTGTGAAAGCGAAACTACTTTGTTTGGCCTTCCAAAAGAGGACTATATCTGCTTCGTCATGCCTGGAGCTGATCCGTGCTGGTTGCTGAGGAAATACTACAACTTCACGCTGTGGATCGCCGGATCGGCTTTCACCGTGGACGAAGCGGAGTCCAGCCCGGGGTCGTCACATGTGGTTGCCGCAAGCCCTCCGTGTTTCGTTGTGAAAAAATACACACAATAATGTTCTTTTTAGCAGCATCATATGACCCCTTATATTTCTGTATGAACAATGTAATGTTTTTGTACACTATAATGCACTTAATTCCTTTTGGCCATGTATTTGTTGTGAAATAAAAACGTGTTATAGTTTAAATTTCAATTCCACTGCTTAAAGCACAACAAAAGATTACAATAATTATTAAAAATGTACTTTAACTTTTTAAGTGTACATAAGGGTCATGAAAGTCATAAAAGTGAACTCCGTCTCCAAGTACACTTATGTGGATTTTGATTTCATTAAGATTGTTTGGAAATACATTTTTTAAATATACTTTTATGATTTGAAGTACACTACAAGAACACATTCAATTCAACTATGTGTGTATTCAATACAATTATGCATACTTTTTCCATCAGGGCAGCTTTGTGACATTACATCCAAATTGTGCCAATTATGTTTAATAAAATATATTGTATTTATCTAAAATGGCTCAAATTAACTTCAGATAAATAAGTAGTTACATAACAACTTGATTAAATAAATAGCTTTTATTTTGTGGTAAATGGTACAATGGTAAATGTGTGAAAAAGTTAGATAAAAACAAATAAATGGATGGAGGTTGACTGGAAAGAATTGATTTTTGTTTTTAAACTTTACATCAGATCATTTATAATATAAAACTGTTGTAGTACAATCCAGCAAAACTGCAGTTCAATAGAATCACAGCAATGAAAAATAAAATCCCCTTAAATACACAAATCAATTTGAGTCAAATAATGCACAGGCTATTTTCTTTCCGGGAATTTGCTTGTTATTTCCTGCCCACACAGGATGTTATTCAGATACTCTGCTGCAGTGGATCCACTTCAAGTGTCTATGAGCTGCTGAATGTGAAGTTTTAATTCTTCAGGAATCCCCAGTTCTGTTAATAAGTCCAAGCAGCACTTTAGCAGCCGTTTCAGACTCTCTCCTGTAGACAAAGAATGCTGGCAAAGAGTTCTTGGTGAATCTTCACTCCAACGTTTCCACAGCAGTCATTATTCGCTCTACCTCTCCCACAACAGTCCCCATTATTTACAATTATGCATACTTTTTCCATCAGGGCAGCTTTGTGACATTACATCCAAATTGTGCCAATTATGTTTAATAAAATATATTGTATTTATCTAAAATGGCTCAAATTAACTTCAGATAAATAAGTAGTTACATAACAACTTGATTAAATAAATAGCTTTTATTTTGTGGTAAATGGTACAATGGTAAATGTGTGAAAAAGTTAGATAAAAACAAATAAATGGATGGAGGTTGACTGGAAAGAATTGATTTTTGTTTTTAAACTTTACATCAGATCATTTATAATATAAAACTGTTGTAGTACAATCCAGCAAAACTGCAGTTCAATAGAATCACAGCAATGAAAAATAAAATCCCCTTAAATACACAAATCAATTTGAGTCAAATAATGCACAGGCTATTTTCTTTCCGGGAATTTGCTTGTTATTTCCTGCCCACACAGGATGTTATTCAGATACTCTGCTGCAGTGGATCCACTTCAAGTGTCTATGAGCTGCTGAATGTGAAGTTTTAATTCTTCAGGAATCCCCAGTTCTGTTAATAAGTCCAAGCAGCACTTTAGCAGCCGTTTCAGACTCTCTCCTGTAGACAAAGAATGCTGGCAAAGAGTTCTTGGTGAATCTTCACTCACGCCTCCAACGTTTCCACAGCAGTCATTATTCGCTCTACCTCTCCCACAACAGTCCCCATTATTTGAGCACCTAGATTCTCCACCTTGGTTCCTTTGCTCGACATTTAGGTCCTCCATGTCATCCACCATCTCAGTCACACTAGGTGGAGGCCTCTGCTGGGCTTTCCTCATGTCCTCCACCAGTCCGTCCTCATGCGTCTCCAATCTCTGAAGCACATCAGTAACTGATGCTAAAGCAGGGCTTCCAGTCAGCTGAATCTGACACCAGCATCAAACAGCACTGTGGAAGGAGAAGACAATGTGACAATGGTCAAAAAGAAGAAAGGACACAATAGCTTTAGGATATGAGCAGGCATAGTGGCACAAAAAGGGACATTTTTAGATTTGATTTAAACTGCATGGTCCTTTTTTATACGAGTGAATTGATCATGATGTGCAAAGTAGTGTTATTTTAATATTATTTAATACTTTATAACAATTAAAGGTTTTATTAATATTTTGAATTCTCTTTTATTTTTATATTTCAGTTTTCATTTTAGTTAGTTTAATATTATGAGTAATTTTAAATATTATTTAAATTTAACACGAATATTTTATTTTATTTCAGCTTTATTTCAATTAACAAAAACATTGTTAGCAGCTTTAGTTAACAATAATAACCCTGGTGTAAACTTGACAAGTGTTATTTTATTATTATTATTTATAGGCTATTATAGTATTTATTAATATTTACATTAGCTTTCATTTGTATATTTTCAATTTTAGCCTAGGTTTTTAGTAGTTTTGCTTTGTGCTTATTTCATTTGTATTCGTTTTTAAATATTTCTATTCAGCTTTATTTTATTTGATATTAGTTTTAGTATTTCAGTACAGTTAGCGATAACAACACAGCTTGACAAGCAATATGAATTCAAAATGATTATCTTTTTTTGTTGTTGTTTAAAACAAATGCCAATTCCTTTGACGTTTTGTTGTACTTTTTATTACCAGAACGTTCTGAGAATGTTAGTTTTTGTTGAAAAAATAACCTACACAGAACAATCCTAGAACGGTAGGAATTGGTTCCCAAACAATACCAAATAGAAACCACACAAACATACATACAAACCATCAGGGGAACATTCTGTGTTTACTAGTACTGTATTTTAAAATGCAGAGCACTAATTCCTAGTATGGGTCACCATACTTGGCCACATGTCACTTCACTCAAATTAGCGCATATTTCATTAAAAAATGAACTTGTAATACAAAAAATGTTTGCAATTATCAATGTAATCAATCAGCTGGGTAAGGCGATAATTAGTAGTTTTTTTTACCCAATTCACCTGAAGTGTCTCGCCTTAACCATATCATCATATTATAGTTTGTATAGACCAGTCACGTGATTGTCCCTAAACTCATTACTTGTAAAGCATAATTATTAAGATATTATAGACACAACATACCTATATAGAGTGGTTAACTACATACATATAATTCATTTTTACTGTTGGGCGTTTTTTTGCATAGATTTCTACTAAAAAGGCCATAAAATGATGAGAGATAAGACAAATGCACCTGCTTACCTCATGATTCCTTTAAGCTGACCGATGACTGTCATTTTAGTGGCTCCTTCCGTGTATCCCATGTTAAAACCAGCCTGTAGAGACGCTTCTTTCTCTGCATCACTGCCATCTCTGAAACCATCCTGACAGAAAACCACATGGCAGTCGTTTCTAGACTGCGCTACTTTCACTAGCTATACACCCCTGGTTTTTCTTTTGCACGTTACCAGTGAACGAGAAAACGTGAAAAAACTCTCACAATGCATGAACGGTCTAACACTCATTTAGACTGTGGGGGGAAAACGAATAAAAACGATACAAAAATATTTCAGTAGAAGCATGTTTATGCATGTGCATTAAAGGTTCGAGATTAATAAACGACTGTTCACGTACCTTTGCGCGTTTTTCCATGTTGTATTTCCATTCTTTGTTCTGGAGACTATTATCATCCACATCCTCGTCGAACACATCCTCACTAGCCGCCACTGATTTCACCCACGACATGATGTTTCCAAGCTATGAATCGCGACAGTTAATCTCACTGAGTGTGAACTTAACGTGAAAATGTATCCGATGAGTAAAAGATATTTGTTTGGGCCTTTGACAGGATCCATAAACCACATCCACGTGGTCATGTGACTGCTTCTTCTTCTTCTTCTTTACATTTTATTGGCGGTTGGCGAAATCGGTTGATAAATGTAAACGTTATCGTGTTTTTATCCAGAAAAAACCGCAGCTCCTCCGTTTACCTCCATTTATTTTTAAGGCAGTCTTGCCCTCACAAACATGGCGGACGCGTTGACGTATCGCAACAACGGCTCAAAGCGGCCAATGAGGAGTCTAGGTATTTATATGTCTATGGTTGCCAACCCCAAGCGCTACCGTCAGCGCCACTTGCTGGTCCGATACTGCTCCCGCTGCACTGTGAAAAAGCTGGTCATGTGACTGACTTCATCAGAATGCATATGAAGCTCTTTTCTTCTTCTGGTCGCATCTGGGCGTATTTTCCACATTATGTCGCCACCTGCTGGTCTGCCTGTGAAGCGCAGGAGTTTATTTAAAGCAGCACTATGTAACTTTTTCTGTGTTCAAAATTTGCAAAATGTATATAATGAGCGAGTACATCATGAATTCATCTTCCAAACCGCGTTTTTGTCTTATTCCGAATCACTACGGTACACTTATAACAAGTACTTATATTTGGACTATTGTAGCCTGGTCGGTTCGTCACCGCTGCGGAGTAACACATACCTGCGTGAATCGCCATAGACATAAACTTAGAGAAGTAGCTCCGGTTGGAATGTTCTTCCGCGGGATGTGTGCAGTTCTGTTTATTAGCTTTTGTAGCTATGTAGCTGTTTATTAGCTATGTAACTTTTGGCTAGAGTGCCAAAAGTTACATAGTGCTGCTTTAACCTGTGATGTCACGAATCATTTAACGTGATATCTATAAATAAGAATGTCCTCTTGTTTTCTCTGCAATTAATTATGGTGTAGTTTGCTTATTTAGAGATGTGATATTGGTTGATATGCCTATAGCCAATCTAACTGATACAATATGTGGTCAAATTTGTTTTTCACCGTCTAAAAATCGTTCTCTATTTTTAAAGGAGGTTGCTACCAAGTCTTGCTCTATTGCTTATTGGACTAAATTTGTTAGAATTCTTAAGTGGGAAAGTGTTTGGTTATTACCTCACAAGTTTTTTGTTACAAACAAGATAAAAGAAATCTCTTTCCAAATAATTCATAAATTCTATCCTGTTAAACATTTTCTCAGTAAGTTTAAGAAGAATATTGATGTCAATTGCTCTTTTTGCTCTTTGCTCTCGGAAACAGTACCCCACATCTGTAGTTATGTTATGATGATGAATTATGACTTAATTTTAATTTGCATTTTGAAAATGTAGTTTTGGGATTTTTTAGTTATGGTAATGTGAATAATGAAGCTTTTGTTAATCTATTTTATTAAGTTTCACATTCATAAGTGTAAATGTTCTAACAACAAAAACCCTGTTTCACAGTGTTTTATAAAGAATTGGAAAACTATTTTGTACTATTCAACATAGTACTAATAGAAAGGCAATCAAATTCAATCTTTAAAATCTTTGAGTAATGCAAAGGTCCTGCGTGTCTATGATTGTACTTTTCTTTTATTTTCTTTCTTTTATTCTTTATACTGTCTGTTGTATTGTTTTGTGTTTGTCGTTTAAAGCATAATAATAAATAAATAAATAAGAATGTCCATGCTAAATTAGATTTACTAACGATTCAGTGTGGATATTAACATTTTAGTACTAAATTATGTCCAATGAAGACGAGCCTGCGCTTTAATGTAGTTAAGTATATTGAAAAGAAAAAATATTTTTAATACAAATTAAATTTAAATTAGTGTAATAGTAGTCAATTATTGTTATAATATATATATATATATATATATATATATATATATATTTGGGAAGGTTACTTTGGAAATGTAATAGGTTACAGATTACAAGTTACCCTACTTAAAATGTAATAAGTAGTGTAACTTTTCAATTACTT